AACGCCGGGCTTTGGTGTTAAGGATTTTGGGATTCAGGGTTTGAGCCTCCAGCATGATCGGCTCGAAACGGTTTACGGTTTTGGGCACAGTATACCAGGCCGGCGTGGATGGGGAATTCCGTTCGCACAATTCGAGCCGCAAGTTTCGTCGAACTAAGTCCTTTGTTGGAGGCCATGCTTGGGATTCAAGGTTTTAGGAGATTACTCGGGTTTAGGGGTTCTGAAGCTTCGGGAGACATGGAGGCCTCAGCCGTAGTTCGCATTCCTGACATTCCTGCGCGGCCCATAAAAGAGCCCAGAGCAGGCGTAGCATCGTGGCACGAAAGGGCGTGTTCTATCTTGCGCTTGAACCTGTCATTGGAAACGCTGCTTGTCAAGAAGTGGCATGGCCGGCAGAGTCCCGTGCCAACATATAATTTCCAGTTTCCCCCTTTTTGGCTCAGGCACAAAGCCAGCTTTAGCACATAAGTCGGAGCGAGAGGGTAATTTGGGGTCCCAGTGATGTCCTGGTTGGGTACAGCGAAGTCGTGGGTGAACCCTAAACCCTAAACCCTAAACCCTAAACCCTAAACCCTAAAACCCTAAACCCCAAAAGGTGCCTGGTTTTAGTGTTGCTGCTTGCTGCCCGCGCGACTCCGAGCAAGATGACCAGCGCTGTCCAGCGGGTCGCCTTCGTCTGGCTTCTTCTGGCACTTTCGGCCGAGGACTGGGGATGGATTCCCCCGTAATTAGCGCTATGAAGGGCCTTCTTGTTAAGGGTTTGTAGGGCATAATCCCGTGATTCGCCTTATAAAGGGCCTTGTTAAGGGTTTGTAGGGCATAACAATAGCCCATCCTGGCAACTACATGCTTTGGTGGGTTCAGGGTTAATCCAAAGCAATCTTGGCTTGGATTGTGAGGCCGGGTTCCGCCCCGGAATCTAGCTCGAGCTACTTCGGTCCCTAGCCCTAAACCCTAAACCCTAAACCCTAAACCCTAAACCCTAATGCCCTCAGAGTCGGCTGGGCTGTCCCGGACCTATGACATGCTAAAGAGATCCCATAGCCTGCACCAAACCTTACTGTTGGGAAGAAGGGGAATGGGAGAATGGATGTACACTATATACTCCCTTAAAGGGAAAGTATAGGGCCCTATATACTCCCTTAAAGGGAAAAGTATAGGGCCCTATATACTCTTAAAGGGTACATCTAGTGCCCTAGTTCCCTCATTCCCTGCTAGCCAACAGTAAGCAAAAGGGAAACGTTTGAAAAAGAGTGAACCGGACCTTTTCAAAACCCTGCAAGCCTTGTAAGGCCATTTGGGTTTACAGGGTTTATAGGGTTATAGGGTTTTAAGGTTTGGGGTTGAGGGATCACAACCTAAACCCCAAAAAACCCTGCAAGACCTCTAAACCCCAGCTCAACTTTCCTGGACCACCCTGAGTCTCTTGTGTCGGGGCTGAGGCCTGCGCCCCTACAGGGCAAGCGCGAGCCCAAAGGGTCCATGTACCCATCGAGTATATACTTGGGCCTTGAAGGGGTTCCTATACAGTAGCTTTAGGGCCCAAATATGTACTATATGGGTACATGGACCCTTAGGGGAGTGGATGGTTTGGCTAGCAACGCAAGACACCAGGGTTAGCGCGACCTCCCTAAGAAGCTCCCACTCCTAAGGCGACCGAGCGGTCATTTCCAGGTCTGTTGAACGTTGCTTGCTTAGTCGAAAAGGATCCTGTTTTGTGTTGAAGTGTAGCTTGCCATGTATCAGAATGGGGGGGGGGGGGGTGGTAGTGAACACCTCACGTGAACTATGTTCGTACACATCGTGTAAAACATCTGAGGCCATCCGTTTCAAGAATTGGGGGGGGGGGGGGGGGGGGGGGGTGACAAACCCAGGAGAATCCAAGCGTGCCAAAGCTATCTCACATCAGTTCACCCACTTGTTTTCCATACTCAGCTCATCGCCAAAAGCAACCCCGTACATGGGGTACTTTGTGTCTCTTGTGTCGTCCTTCGCGCATGTCCTTGAAGTGGATTTCGGACGTGAGGCTTGCAACTTCCAATGGCAAGTTGGGAGGAAAATCTGTGCCGCAAGCTGCGTGCAATAATAATATAGGGGTCGGAATAACTACTAATAGTATTCCCCTATGGTCCCTATAAGAATATGAGTATACGATAATAACCCCCCCCACAACCCTGTTCTAATTATATAGGCCCCTACATGAAGCTGGTGAGGCTTCTCGTCGTCGCTCAGTGCCGCGAGTGCGCCTCGTGGGCTCCAGCACTCGCGGCCGGGTGGAGATCTTTCACAACGGCGAGTGGGGCACCGTGTGCGATGACGATCCTTGGCCGTGAGGGCATGCTTGCGCAGGGTGCTTCAGTCAAGCAGTTGCTTTCCTGCTTTTTCGTGAGTGTAGGCCTTCAGCAACACCGATGCCGCCGTCGTCTGCCGTGAGCTCGGCCTTCCCGGTGGCATCGCAATCTCCAGCTTTGGGGGAGGACTCTGGCAGCTGTCACGGCGGGGTTGGGTAGCCTTGCCTCCCTACAATGGCACTTCAAAAGAGAGCTGCAAAGGTTCTTCATGCTCGCAGGAACTGGCCAAATATGGATGGATAGCGTCGGCTGCACTGGGAGTGAGACCAACCTTTCCTTGTGCTCTTTCCAGGGCGGGCATGTCAAAATGGTTTGCATCAGGTTCATCTGCAGTACGTAGGGTAAGCATGGGAGAGGACAGTGCTCACATGTTGTTGCTTGCAGGCTGGGGCACACATGACTGTCATCACGGCGAAGACGTTGGCGTTTTGTGTACCGCGGACAAGGCACGCGGCCTGTAGAGCTTGTAGCAAGGGCTTTTGCGATTAGTTTATGATCCGATACTTGGAGAAGATTTTTTTAGGCTGGCTCTAGCAGGGACACGCGGCGAGTGTATGGCAATGACATTCGGTCAACACTTGGACTTGTTCGCCAGAGGCGTGCTCCTTGTGTCCAGCAGAGCTTGCATTCCCTTGACAGTCCTCTTGCGTGGAGGTGCGGCTGGTTGGCTCTAGCACTCGCGGCCGGCTGGAGATACTGCACAACGACGAGTGGGGCACCGTGTGCGATGATGATCCTTGGTTCATGCGTCGGGTGGTTCAGGCATTTTTTTTGTGCGCCTGTGGCGCCTACGTTGAACTACTGTGCTTTCGAAAGCCAGGGCTTCGGTGATGGCGATGCCCGCGTGGTTTGCCGTGAGCTCGGACTTCCTGGTGGCATCGCAATCTCCAACTTCGGGGGAGGACGGGGCAGATGTCAGCTACTGTCACTTCAGTCAGCACCCTTTGTGCAGAGAGTTGCTTTTAGTTGCCGGGAGGGCCAGTTCAGCATTACCTATAGAGCTAATCGGACAGGTTCGTCTGCATTATTCTGCATTGCAGGAAGCGGCAGGATATGGATGGACGGCGTTGCCTGCACGGGGCGCGAGACCAACCTCACCGTGTGCCCTTTCAATGGTGAGCTGGCCGAAGTCGAAAGATTTTTTATTGTCAGAGTTCGTTTGGAGTTTGGAGGCTTAAGATTTAAAGAGGCTTAACAAGTTGATTTGGATCGTGTTTGTTTTCTGTTGGCGACAGGCTGGGGCATACATGATTGCAGCCACGACAAAGACGTCGGTGTCTGGTGTGCCACAGACCAGGCGTGGGGCCTCAGAACTCGCCAGAGTTGTAAACGCTTGCTTGCGCACCGCCTCGGCAGCCGGGCCGGCCCAACGCCGGGTGGGGCATGCGCATCGCACACTCCGCATCGCCACACATGTCATGAGTTGAGGAGGCAAGACTTCAGGAGCTTCCGGGTAGTCCTAGGAGAGGGAATCCAGAAGAGGAAGGGGCCTCCCAGAAGTCCCAAGCGTCCCAAAGTGCGGGGGCGAAGGGCGTGGGGGGGGTCTCAGGGGGGCTGTTGACCGGGGGGGGGCCCTCCAGAAACTCTCCTTCGTTATTCGGAGCCCTTACACGGGGATCGCTCGAGGTGTTGCTTCGCGCCTGGTTCTTTGAGGGTCCTGCTACGTGGACCCTGAATGGAGGTACGGCTGGTTGGCTCCAGCACTCGCGGCCGGGTGGAGATATTTCACAATGGCGAGTGGGGCACCGTTTGCGATGATGACCCTTGGCCGTGAGAGCATGTTTGTGCAGGGTGCTTGAGTCACGCAGGGTGCTTCAGTCAAGCAGTTTCCTGCGTTGTCGCGAGTGTGTAGGCCTTCAGCAACACCGATGCCGCCGTCGTCTGCCGTGAGCTCGGCCTTCCCGGTGGCATCGCAATCTCCAGCTTTGGGGGAGGACTCTGGCAGCACAGCTGTCACAGCGGGTTGAGTAGCCTTGCCTCCCTACAATGGCACTTCAAAAGAGAGCTGTGAAGATTCCTCATGCTCGCAGGAACTGGCCAAATATGGATGGATAGCGTGGGCTGCAATGGGAGCGAGACCAACCTTTCCTTGTGCCCTTTCCAGGGCGGGCATGTCAAAATGCTTTGCATCAGGTTCATGTGGAATGTGGAGTAGAGTAAGCATGGGAGAGGACAGCGCTCACGTTTTATTACTTGCAGGCTGGGGCACACATGACTGTCAACACAGCGAAGACGTCGGCGTTTTGTGTACCACGGACAAGGCACGCGGCCTGTAAAGCTTGTAGCTAAGGGCTTGGCGATTAGTTCGTCAAGCCAGATGTGACAAATTAGCTTGCGTGCTTGGATCGCGGAAGCCCTCCCGCAAGAAGATGTCATACCGCTGTCTTTAGCAGGGACCCGCGGCAAGTTGTCTCGCAATGAAATTCGGCCAACACTTGAGCCTGCGTTCCTTTAACCGTCCTCTTGCGTGGAGGTGCGGCTGGTTGGCTCTAGCACTCGCGGCCGGCTGGAGATACTGCACAACAACGAGTGGGGTACCGTGTGCGATGATGATCCTTGGTTCATGTGTCGGGTGGTTCAGGCAATTTTTGGTGCGCCCTGTGGCGCCTACGTGGAACTACTGTGCTCTCGAAAGCCAGGGCTTCGGTGATGGCGATGCCCGCGTGGTTTGCCGTGAGCTCGGACTTCCTGGTGGCATCGCAATCTCCAACTTCGGGGGAGGACGGGGCAGATGTCAGCTACTGTCACTTCAGTCAGCACCCTTTTTCGCAGGGAGTTGCTTTTAGTTGCCGGGTGGACCAGTTCACCATTACCTGTAGAGCCAATCGGTCTGCACTATTCTGCATTGCAGGAAGCGGCAGGATATGGATGGACGGCGTTGCCTGCACGGGGCGCGAGACCAACCTCACCGTGTGCCCTTTCAACGGTGAGCTGGCCGAAGTCGAAAGATGTTTTCGTTTTTTCTCCTTCTTTATGTCAGAGTTCGTTTGGAGGCTTAAGACTTTCAGAGGCTTAACAAGTTGATTTGGATCGTGTTTGTTTTCTGTTGGCGACAGGCTGGGGCATACATGATTGCAGCCACGACAAAGACGTCGGTGTCTGGTGTGCCACAGACCAGGCGTGGGGACTCAGAACTCGCAGGAATTGTAAACATTGTAAACGCTTGCTTGCGCACGCCGGGTGGTGCGTGCCCATCGCACACGAAGGAAAAGCCGCAGAGCCACGCACGTCATGAGTTCAGGAGGTATAGGCTTAGGAGAGGGAATCGTCCCAAAGTGGGGCCAAGGCTTCAGGAGGTTTAGGGTGGCCTCCAGGAAGGTCCCAGTCCCAGGGGACAAGGCGGGGGGGTGGGGGGGCCCTCCAGAAACTCTCCTTCGTTATTCGGAGCCCTTACAGGGGGATCTCGAGGTGTTGCTTCGCGCGTCGCATGGTTCTTTGAGGGTCCTGCTGCGTGGACCCTGCGTGCAGGTGCGGCTGGTGGGCGGATCCAGCACTCGCGGCCGGGTGGAGATCTTTCACAACGGCGAGTGGGGCACCGTTTGCGATGATGACCCTTGGCCGTGAGAGCATGTTTGCGCAGGGTGCTTGAGTCACGCAGGGTGCTTCAGTCAAGCAGTCGCTTTCCTGCGTTGTCGCGAGTGTGTAGGCCTTCAGCAACACCGATGCCGCCGTCGTCTGCCGTGAGCTCGGCCTTCCCGGCGGCGTCGCAATCTCCAGCTTTGGGGGAGGACTCTGGCAGCTGTCACAGCGGGTTGAGTAGCCTTGCCTCCCTACAATGGCACTTCAAAAGAGAGCTGCAAAGGTTCTTCATGATCGCAGGAACTGGCCAAATATGGATGGATAGCGTGGGCTGCAATGGGAGCGAGACCAACCTTTCCTTGTGCCCTTTCCAGGGCGGGCATGTCAAAATGGTTTGCATCAGGTTCATGTGGAATGTGGAGTAGAGTAAGCATGGGAGAGGACAGCGCTCACGTTTTATTGTTTGCAGGCTGGGGCACACATGACTGTCAGCACAGCGAAGACGTCGGCGTTTTGTGTACAGACCAGGCACGGGGCCTGCAAAGCTTGCAGTCAACGTCCTATTCATCCTCGACATTCCATTCCTTGGACCAGAGACTGCTCAGTACGACATGATGCTCACCAAAACCAGTCCAAGTAGGCAAAACAAGTATATCCGAGAATTTGTCAGTCATGTAATATCTGCCCAAATGCCCACAAGCACACTTGCGGCAGACCGCCACTGTGACCTCCACTGTGATCGCCACCGTGACCGCCACCACCACGCGGTTGTTGACCACCGCCATGCTCTCCAGCACACAGGCCGGGGCCAAGTGGCGCGTCTGTGTCGGTTTAGGGAGTAGGGATTAGGGTTTAGGGTTTAGGGGCCTCTTTCCTGCAACTGGCTTGAACTAATTGGGAAGAGGGCCCCAACAAAGCAAGTTAAGCCAAAAACATCAAAAAAAAAGGCGGAAGACGCATGCATTTCTTCAAAAGTCCTGCTGACTTCCAAGAAGACCATAGAAACGAGAATTCACTTGACTGTTGGGAAGCCCCCCACCCTCCCACACACACATAGCAAAAGAAAGTGCACGGGCATCCGCAGCAAAAGCCACGTGCCCGCAATTCCCCACAGGAGAACCCGCGTTGCAACAGACAGACGAAAGCAGGTCCACCCCCCTCCCCCCCGTCCGAAGCAAGAGTCGAATAAAGCATCCCCTGCCCCAGTGGCATGCGACAACTCAACGTGTGTCTGTCATAAAGCCAAGCAAACACCTCGTCGTGAAGACCCAGGTGTATTGAGGCAAAACAACACGAAGTCAGCGTGCTAATTTTGGGTCCCCTTGTTTGCAGGTGCGGCTGGTTGGCTCCAGCACTCGCGGCCGGGTGGAGATATTTCACAACGGCGAGTGGGGCACTGTGTGCGATGATGACCCCTGGCTGCGAGAGTCTTTGCCCAGGGTGCTTCCATCACGCAGCCGGGGCACTTTTCAGCGTTGTAGTGCCTGTATAGGACTTCGGCAATACCGACGCTGCTGTGGTGTGCCGTGAACTCGGACTTCACGGCGGCACCGCAATCCCCAGCTTTGGGGGAGGACGCTTGCACAAATCGTGCTGGGTTAGGCCGTTAGGCTGTTGTGTTTTTCTTGTTCTTCCCGCGAAATGACATTACCCACCAACTCGACATCAGCGTAGGAAGAGGCAGCATATGGATGGATGACGTCCGCTGCACCGGGAGCGAGACCAACCTTTCCTTGTGCTCTTTCAGCGGCGGGCACGTCGAAATGGTTTGCGTCAGGATCTTTCGGAGTAAGGTTAACCACATGAGCTTTGCCACATTTAGGGTTCAGGGATGTTCAGGGTTTAGGGTGTAGGGTTCATGGTTTAGGGTTAAGCCAACAGGTAAGCCGACGTAGCCTGGATGGAGACATCGTTTTTGGGGGATTGTGGGGACGGGTCCGAAGTCCGAACAGGCAATTAAAGGAACCCAAAAGAAGGGTAGGAAACCATATTGTAGTAGAAAGGGAGTGGCAGTTTTGGGCCTTGAGTCCTACTCAAGGCCCAAAACAACAACCCTGCAATCTAGCTTGGCCAACAACGGAAAGAGCGCCTCCCCACCAAAGCCCACCGGGCTGCCCATCCCACCTGAACCAGCATCAAGAGGATAACTTAGGGAGACTTGGAAATATTTTCCAATTTTTGGGTACTTTAATTCCTAAGAAACAGCACAAATGATAAGTTTTGCTGGGGTTCCAAGTTCAGTATAGTAGAGCATTAGCTGCCCGGGAGGCACCGCCCCAGCATGAGCATCAGCCGCACCGGTTCGCGACCCACCCGGTATAGCACAGCCCGACTCAACCCCCAAAACCAGATTTGCGTACGAGCGATCAGGCACACGCTTATCGATTTCCCGGCCCCCCGCCCCCTCCCTCGTTGGCCCCCTGGCGGCCTGAAAACGATCGTGACATGAAACTTTCGAAGTATTTAAACCTTTGCTTGTTGCAGGCTGGGGCAGTCATAATTGCGGCCACGACGAAGACGTGGGTGTCTTATGTTCCAGCACGCAGGCAGGGCTCGCGCACATTCAGCTGCTGCTGGTTAAGAGTATGGTCATGTGTTGTATGGGCTGTCCACCTTTCAAGTTCATTTGTAAGGAGTCCCCTCGCCGTCGGCGCTCGGATCCTCGTCGGCGATCGGATCCTCGTCGCCGTCGCTCGTACTCTGGCCCGAATGTTCGGCTGGTTGGCTCGAGCACGCGCGGTCGGGTGGAGATATACCACAGCAACGAGTGGGGCACCGTGTGCGATGATGACCCTTGGCTGTTAGTATCTTTGCCCAGGGTGCTTCCACAACGCAGTCGGGGCACTTTTCAGCGTTGTAGGGCCTGTATAGGACTTCAGCAATACCGACGCTGCTGTGGTGTGCCGTGAACTCGGACTTCACGGCGGCACCGCAATCCCCACCTTTGGGGGAGGACGCTTGCACAAATCGTGCTGGGTTAGGCCGTTAGGCTGTTGTGTTTTTCTTGTTCTTCCCGCGAAATGACACTACCCACCAACTCGACATCAGCACAGGAAGAGGCAGCATATGGATGGATGACGTCCGCTGCACCGGGAGCGAGACCAACCTTTCCTTGTGCTCTTTCAGCGGCGGGCACGTCGAAATGGTTTGCGTCAGGATCTTTCGGAGTAAGGTTAACCACATGAGCTTTGCCACATTTAGGGTTCAGGGATGTTCAGGGTTTAGGGTTCATGGTTTAGGGTTAAGCCAACAAGCAAGTAAGCCGACGTAGCCTGGATGGAGACATCGTTTTTGGGGGATTGTGGGGACGGGTCCGAAGTCCGAACAGGCAATTAAAGGAACCCAAAAGAAGGGTAGGAAACCATATTGTAGTAGAAAGGGAGTGGCAGTTTTTGGGCCTTGAGTCCTATTCAAGGCCCAAAACAACAACCCTGCAATCTAGCTTGGCCAACAACGGAAAGAGCGCCTCCCCACCAAAGCCCACCGGGCTGCCCATCCCACCTGAACCAGCATCAAGAGGATAACTTAGGGAGACTTGGAAATATTTTCCAATTTTTGGGTACTTTAATTCCGAAGAAACAGCACAAATGATAAGTTTTGCTGGGGTTCCAAGTCCAGTATAGTAGAGCCGGGAGGCACCACCCCAGCATGAGCATCAGCCGCACCGGTTCGCGACCCACCCGGTATAGCACAGCCCGACTCAACCCCCAAAACCAGATTTGCGTACGAGCGATCAGGCACACGCTTATCGATTTCCCGTCCCCCCCCCCCCCCTCCCTCGTTGGCCCCCTGGCGGCCTGAAAACGATCGTGACATGAAACTTTCGAAGTATTTAAACCTTTGCTTGTTGCAGGCTGGGGCAGTCATAATTGCGGCCACGAGGAAGACGTGGGTGTCTTATGTTCCAGCACGCAGGCAGGGCTCGCGCACATTCAACTGCTGCTGGTTAAGAGCATGGTCATGTGTTGTATGGGCTGTCCACCTTTCAAGTTCATTTGTAAGGAGTCCCCTCGCCGTCGGCGCTCGGATCCTCGTCGGCGATCGGATCCTCGTCGGCGCTCGGATCCTCGTCGCCGTCGCTCGTACTCTGGCCCGAATGTTCGGCTGGTTGGCTCGAGCACGCGCGGTCGGGTGGAGATATACCACAGCAACGAGTGGGGCACCGTGTGCGATGATGACCCTTGGCTGTTAGTATCTTTGCCCAGGGTGCTTCCACAACGCAGTCGGGGCACTTTTCAGCGTTGTAGTGCCTGTATAGGACTTCAGCAATACCGACGCTGCTGTGGTGTGCCGTGAACTCGGACTTCACGGCGGCACCGCAATCCCCACCTTTGGGGGAGGACGCTTGCACAAATCGTGCTGGGTTAGGCCGTTAGGCTGTTGTGTTTTTCTTGTTCTTCCCGCGAAATGACACTACCCACCAACTCGACATCAGCACAGGAAGAGGCAGCATATGGATGGATGACGTCCGCTGCACCGGGAGCGAGACCAACCTTTCCTTGTGCTCTTTCAGCGGCGGGCACGTCGAAATGGTTTGCGTCAGGATCTTTCGGAGTAAGGTTAACCACATGAGCTTTGCCACATTTAGGGTTCAGGGATGTTCAGGGTTTAGGGTTTAGGGTTCATGGTTTAGGGTTAAGCCAACAAGCAGGTAAGCCGACGTAGCCTGGATGGAGACATCGTTTTGGGGGGATTGTGGGGACGGGTCCGAAGTCCGAACAGGCAATTAAAGGAACCCAAAAGAAGGGTAGGAAACCATATTGTAGTAGAAAGGGAGTGGCTGTTTGTGGGCCTTGAGTCCTATTCAAGGCCCAAAACAACAACCCTGCAATCTAGCTTGGCCAACAACGGAAAGAGCGCCTCCCCACCAAAGCCCACCGGGCTGCCCATCCCACCCGAACCAGCATCAAGAGGATAACTTGGAAATATTTTGATTTTAACGCTACGCGACCCGCCTCGGCCTGGCCCAGCGCAGCGCCCGGCGCATGCTCGCGGCATCCGCAGCTGCACAAGGTCGGGGTAGGGGGGGGGGGGGGGGGGGGGGGGGGGGGGGGGGGGGGGGGGGGGGGGGGGGGGGGGGGGGGGGGGGGGGGGGGGGCTGCTGGTACGGGGTTCAACTCCCTCTGGTCCTGGGTGAGCCGTCCGCTTGCGGACCCCGGTTTCCTAGGGGGGTACCCATTTGAGGCCAAAAAAAGGGGTCTGAAAAAGGGCTGGGAGGGGGTGCCTGTTCTCACAACCTATACACCTTCGGCCCGAGGCCTCGGCAGATTCCTAAGAAACAGCACAAATGATAAGTTTTGCTGGGGTTCCAAGTTCAGTATAGATTCTAGATAAGCAAAAGCATTAGCTGCCCGGGAGGCGCCGCCCCAGAATGAGCATCAGCCGCACCGGTTCGCGACCCACCCGGTATAGCACAGCCCGACTCAACCCCCAAAACCAGATTTGCGTACGAGCGATCAGGCACACGCTTATCGATTTCCCGTCCCCCCCCCCCTCCCTCGTTGGCGCCCTGGCGGCCTGAAAACGATCGTGACATGAAACTTTCGAAGTATTTAAACCTTTGCTTGTTGCAGGCTGGGGCAGTCATAATTGTGGCCACGACGAAGACGTGGGTGTCTTATGTTCCAGCACGCAGGCAGGGCTCGCGCACATTCAGCTGCTGCTGGTTAAGAACATGGTCATGTGTTGTATGGGCTGTCCACCTTTCAAGTTGATTTGTAAGGAGTCCCCTCACCGTCGGCGCTCTTATCCATCGGATCCTCGTCGGCGCTCGGATCCTCGTCGCCGTCGCTCGTACTCTGGGCCGAATGTTCGGCTGGTTGGCTCGAGCACGCGCGGTCGGGTGGAGATATACCACAACAACGAGTGGGGCACCGTGTGCGATGATGACCCTTGGCTGTTAGTATCTTTGCCCAGGGTGCTTCCACAACGCAGTCGGGGCACTTTTCAGCGTTGTAGTGCCTGTGTAGGACTTCAGCAATACCGACGCTGCTGTGGTGTGCCGTGAACTCGGACTGCACGGCGGCACCGCAATCCAAAGCTTTGGGGGAGGACGCTTGCACACAAATCGTGCTGGGTTAGGCCGTTAGGCTGCGTGCATTTTTCTTGTTCTTCCCGCGAAATGACATTACCCACCAACTCGACATCAGCGCAGGAAGAGGCAGCATATGGATGGACAACGTCGCCTGCGCCGGGAGCGAGACCCGCCTTTCTTCATGCCCTTTCAACGGCGCGGGCATGTCAACCTGGTTGGCTCGTGCTTGAAGCACCCTAAACCCTGAACCCTAAACCCTTAACCCTAAACCCTAAACCCTAAACCCTAAACCCTAAACCAGTCGTTGATCTTTTGCTTGGTTCAGGCTGGGGCACGAATGATTGCAGCCACGACGAAGACGTGGGTGTCTCATGTTCCAGCACGCAGCTCCTGTCGCAGGCTGGGCACCCTAAACCCTAGGGTTTTCATAGGGTTTAGGGTTTAGGGTTCAGGGTTCAGGCGGTTTAGGGTTTAGACGGTGTAGGGTTCAGGGCTTAAGGTTAGTTTAGGGTTTTTTGCGTTGACCATCAGGCCTTGGCACGAGATGGCGATAGCATCGACTGGGAGATGTGCCGTGCAAGCAGGAAGCTTCAAACCCTACACCCTGAACCCTGAACCCTAAATCCTATTTCATTAAGGACCTTGTCCTCCCCACTGCAGGGTTTTTAGGTCGTGGGAGGGGGGAAGGGGGAGGGGGTGTAAGGGTCAGGATTGATCAGGATTGGCTTCTATGTGAGTATGAGTACTAGAAAAGGTATGACTGTGAGTATATTCGTATGAGGGTGCAGGCGTTGGTGTTACTGGTACTTGTAGCATCTCTGCCTCACACAAGTACAGATCTCAACAGTAGATCCCAGCATTTCTCGGGCACCGGAAATGCATCATTTGTGGTTCCCATATTTGGGAGTTTGCGCGACTAGCGGACCCCTAGTATGGACCCCCAATAGTAGGATTCCCTTATAATAAGGACCCCAATAAGGTACCACCAAATTCGGAAACCCCATTTTGTTAACCACCTCACTAAGAGTTCAGGGTAGCTGAAGCGAAGAAGGATGCACCAGTTCGTTCACGCTAGAGCCTGTGGCGCCTCGGATGCTGGCACGGCGCGGATAAACGAACAGCAAAACAAATTCCGTCGGATTTTCCATGCGTGCTGGAAAACGAAGGGGTGTTTTTTTCTTGAGTCCTAACCCTAAACCCTAAACCCTAAACCCTAAACCCTAAACTTGGCTCCCGGCCACGTCAAGACCGGACTTGATCTTCCCCGTTGCAGCTCGTGGCATCCAGGATCTGAGGGTGGCATTTTCAGGGTTTAGGGTTTGGTGTCCCTAAACCCTAAACCCTAAACCCTAAACCCTAAACCCTCATGAGTCGGGGCGACCTGAGGATCGGCGGAGTCGTCGGCCTCATTCTATTCATCCTCCTGCTATGTCTCGCACTTTGGCGACTGAGCAAGTGCAAGGACTCCCGAGGGTTTAGGGTTTAGGGTTCATAGGGTTTAGGGTTTAGGGTTTAGGGCGTAGGTTTTAGGGTTTAGGGTGACGCCCTCTCCCTTAAGAACCTTATAAGAACAAGTGCAAGGACACGGTTTTTCACTTTGGGAAGCAGCGCCCGAACCCGGGAGATTGGATCTTTTGATTTCAAGGATGGCTAGTTCTCTCCTCTTCTTTTCTGTTCAATTCTCCTCTCTTCTCTTCTCTCTTTTCTTTCACACTCTCAGAGCATCAAATGGTTGTCCAGCAGCCCCAGTGCACCCTTGAACAAGGAAACCCGCCATTTCAGTATCTCGCGACAATGTTCCCGTTAAACTTATGAAGCTGTATGCAGCCCGAGACCTCAGGTGCCCTTTTATGGTTGAGGGTTTGAAGGGCATTTAGCGTTTGTAGGATTTCCCGGGTTTCTAGGGGCGGCTTCTGGTTATAGGGCGGCTTGATAGGGTTTATGGGGCAGGAGCAGGCACCCTCAACGACGACAGCACCCACGGTGGTAGTGCCTATGGTCGCATTCGAGCGTGGCCCTTGATGAGGGTTGCCAGGATGGGGCCTTTTCACAAATAGATACATTATTTTACTTCGAACATCCCTACCTTAGGGATTTGGGAGTTGGGCATTTCAGGGAGACTCTGGGGTTGGGCACTCCAGGAGTCTCTGGGTCGGGCACTTGGGTTGGGCACTCCAGGGAGTCTCTGGGTTGGGCACTCTAGGGAGACTGGGGTTGGGCAATTGAGACAGGGAGACTCTGGGGTTGGGTAGGTATCTGAAGTTAGGCATTTCAGGAAGGGGTTGGGCACTCCAGGAAGTCTCTGGGTTGGGCACTCCAGGGAGACTCTGGGGTTGGGCACTCCAGGGAGTCTCTGGGGTTGGGCACTGGAGTCTTTGGGGTTGGGCACTGCAGGGAGTCTCTAGGAGTAGACCGGGCGAGGAGAAGAGTTCCGGGCGAGGAGGAGAGTTGAGTTTAAAATCTAACAACCCCACACCGAAGGTGGGGAATTAATACCTATATGTATATATATATATATATATGCGTACTTATACTTGTAAGAATCTTGGCCCTGTAGGTCTTGGAAGTCATAAAAAATTTTTTTGTCATTTTCAGTCATTTCGGAGTCATTCTGGAGTCATTCTGCTGTTGTCATTTTGTTGTCGTTTCTGTGTCGTTTTCTGCCTGAATCATTCTTGCGTTGTCATTTTCTTGTGATTGTGTTGTCGGTGGTGGTAGTAGTAGTAGTAGGAGGAGGAGGTATAAGTGCCAAAGATGGCCGATGATGGCCGCATATGTGGTATCCTGTGAGATCAAGCGTGGCACTCGTCACCACATTCTGCATCGTGATTTGCAGAAAATGAATAAAGCAATAATTTTAACGCTACGCGACCCGCCTCGGCCCGGCCCAGCGCATCCGCGTGAGCATGGTGATTCCGCAGCGCCCAAGTCGCTGGACCCCAAGCAATAAGGGTTGGGTTGAGGGTTGAGGGTTGAGGGTTCCGGGTTTATGGTTTATGGTTTGGGGTTTGGGGTTGAGGGTTAGTTTAGGGCTCAAGGTTCACGCTTTGGGGTTGAGGGTTTTTTTGGGTTTAGGGTTCGGCTTGGAGTGATCGTAGGGTTGAGCCAGGCCCTTTAAGGTTTAAGGCGACTTTTCGGCAGGGTGGGGGGGAGGGGGAGGTGGGGTGGGGGGGGGGTGGGTGGTGGGGGGGGGAAGGGGGGGGCAGGATAGGGGGGGGGAGGGGGGGGGGGGGGGGGGTGGGGGGGGGGTGGGTGTGGGGGGAGGATTTGGAGGGGGGTGCCTGTTCTGACAACCTATACACCTCCGGCCCGAGGCCTCGGCGGACTTGCAACAAAGACGTAAGCCTTACGTAAGCAAGGAAGGAAGGGGATCTGGGGGGGATCTGGGATCTGGGGGATGGCAATGTGTGGGGAAGGGGGGGAAAGGGAAGGGGGGGGGGGGGACGATGGAGGGCCATATGACAAAAAATGACAGAGCAGGACATGACAGAAAAATGATTCCAAAAAGACAGAAAAGGCAACTCCAAAATGACAGAAAAATGACTCCAAATGACTCCAAAATCCGTCCCTCCGCCCGTCCCGGGGGGAAATTTTGGAGTCATGTTTTTGTCATTCTTTGTCATGTTTTCGGTCATTTTTTGGAGTCATTTTTCTGTCATTTTGGAATCATTCTGCTGTCATGTCCCGACCCTTCTGTCAATTTTTTGTCATTTGGCGACCCCTTTGCCATTTGGTCTGTCATTTTTCTGACATTGTTCAATCATTTGCTCCAATCCTAATGTACGTCGTCCTCATCATCGTCGTCGTCGTCGTGGTGCGCGTGCGAAGAGGGACAAGGGTTCAGCAGTGTCGGTTCTGGCCCATGTGGGCCATGTCTGAGGCCCTTGAGGCCCCCGTCAGCTAGTTTGGACACATTTTTTGTGGGTCCCTTAACAGGGCCGCATTTGGGCCACAAACATGAGGGCTTTGGAGGGCCCATATGAACCCTTTCTGAGGGCTTTGCCTGGGCGCGTTTTTGTGGGGTCCTTTACAATAATAATACTACAATACTACTGACTGACACATGACAAACAAGTGACACAAACATGACACAAAAATGGCATCAACATGACAGCAGCAAATGACAACAAAATGACAAATAAATGACAAAAATAATTCCTGGATATGTCCCAAGGTCTGCAGGAGAGATTCTTACAAACTTATACATATGTGTATGTATGCACGTACGTACATATGTGTATGTGTATGTATATGTCTACGTATGTATAAAGAAATGAATATATATATATATATACACACGATCTAGAGGTCCATGGCAGGCTCACATGTCCATGAAAGCTTTGTCATGACAGCGTCCATCACTGCCGTGCAAAGATGCACCTGTCACTGTGGCGCTTCGGAGTACCCTGGTCGCCCTTCAGACTTGCGATTGCCTAAGACTGAAACGCGCACGCGCTCTGTAGAACGTCGATTGCTGATGTAATATGATGAGTGCGTTGTGACTACTCTGCTTGTTCTTACCATGATATGTTTCATATTGTTGTTATGGTTTTCTGTCGTTGTTTTTTGTTAATTGTTGCTCCTCGTGTTATTGGCATTCTCGATGGTGGTTCCGTGACCTTTTTGCACGCTCAACGGAAGGTGCCGGACTTGGAGGGTGGCCCCGGCCCAGTGCTCCTGGGCTCTTGCCAGGCCGAGTGGGTGGGTTTGCAGTTAAATTTTAAACTACAGAGAGTTGGAACGCGGTTTCAGGATGATTAGAGCTGGGATTCCCTTCAGTATACCTTTTGGGGTACGGGGATAAGGATGTTGCAACTTTCTGGAATTCAGGGTTTAGGGTTTAGGGTTTAGGGTTTAGGGTTTAGGGTTTAGAGTAGGGCTTTAGGGGCGAAATGGGGGTGGGCACCCCTGGTGCTTTGTTGCACTGCTGGGCCTCCGCAGTCGTTGAAGGGTTATGGGTAAGGGTTCTTCGCAGGTCTGGTTCTGGTAAACCCTAAACCCTAAACCCTAAACCTTATAAACTCCAAACCCCAAACCCTAAACCCTAAACCCTAGACCGCAGCTTCATGACACGGGCCTCCGGGAACTTGCAGCCTTGTAATGGGCTGCCGCTGGCACTGTAGGAAGAGCCGATCAAGGAAAGGTCTTCGGCTCTTGAAGTTTCCAAGGTTTAGGGCTTATAGGGTTTACAGGGTTTTGGGGTTTAGGGTTTACAGGGTTTAGCGTTTATAGGGTTGAGGTTTATAGGGATTAAAGGGTTTAGGTTTTATTGGGGCTATAGGGTTTTATAGGGTTTTATAGGGCGTATACGGTTTATAGGGTTTATAGGGTTAAAAGGGTTTAGGGTTGGTAGGTTCGGCTTGAGAGCAAGGGGCTTGTGGAGGGTGTACTTTCCCCCAGCGCCACCCCTGCGAAAATGCGAGAGGGTGGTGTTCTTGGTCCGAAAAAGGGGTGGTGGTTGGTTCTCCCTATACATTCTTTAACGGGCGCTTTTGGGGTTTACGGCTTAGGGTTTATAGGGTTTATAGGTTTTTGGGTTTAGGGTTTAGGGCTTTAGAGACCCTAGGGTGGGCCTTTCGCCTCTGCACTATCGTGGCCTATCGTGACCCTGATTTTTTTCGCAAGGTCGCATCATTGCATCATCTTGATGACTTGTCGTCTGCAGTGGCAGGAGTTTTGCTCCGTTCCTGGCTGCGGCCGCTTAAACGCCGCAGGTGGGGTTTGGGGGGTTTAGGAGGTTTAGGGGTTTAGGGGTTTAGGGGTTTAGGGGTTTAGGGGATTTAGGGGATTTAGGGGATTTAGGGGTTTAGGGGATTTGGGGGATTTAGGGGATTTAGGGGATTTAGGGGTTTAGGCGTTTAGGGGATTTAGGGGTTTAGGGGATTTAGGGGTTTAGGGGTTTAGGGGACGAAGCCTTGAGAAGCTTGCTCGGTGTTCTCGTTACTTCTGGCTTTCTGGCGTGTTGGTGTAAAAAAGGGCTCGGAATACTTACGCATCCTACTCCCTTTTGGCCCCACTATAATTCTACGATAATCACCTTCTAAAGACCCTATTCTAATCATTCAGGCTCCTACAGCATAAACGTCAGAATCAGGGCTCAGGGACTTTGGACTTTTTCTCCGGACCGGGCCCCCAGGTTCAAGGCCTCCAGCGGGAAATTCAACCCTTCCAACTGCCCTAAACCCTAAACCCTAAACCCTAAACCCTAAACCCTAAACCCTAAACCCTACACCCTAAACCCTAAACCCTAAACCCTAAACCCTAAACCCTAAACCCTAAACCCTAAACCCTAAACCCCATCTGCAGCCCCAACTTCAGAGAGTTCGCGAATAGAACCAATCTGGGTATTTCCCAAAATGGTGGTACCCCCTTTTGTTTCCCCGTAAATAGAATAGGTTGCCCTTGCAGGGACCCCCAAAAAGGGCATTCCTATTTTCGGAAACCCCCATCTGGTCATGCGCCCTACTCGCCCTGGTATCCCGAACCCTGGACTACAAGAATCTCAAAGCAGGCTCTTGCAAAGCTCGACCCCCGTTCAGATCTTTGCAGTTAAACTCCTATTTGCTTAAGAACCCCCAAACAACCAAACACATCACTCCTCACAATGGCAATGTTGGGAGGATTATCTTTCATTATTTGGGGTTCTTAAGCAAGCAGTCGTACAGCATCACCCTAAACCCTAAGCCCTAAACCCTAAACCCTAAACCCTCCGAGTTGCCCTTCTAAACCCCAAAGCTGTGCGCCTTTGGGCACAGAATCCAGGCTACTCCACCTGTTGCAAGAACCTTGGCTGGCAGCTATTGGGGTTTAGGGCTTAGGGTTTTGGGTTTAGGGTTTAGGGTTTAGTTCTTGCGGGGGAGTCTGCATTTTCAGGTGTAGAGTGCAGAGGTCAGGGCTGAGAAGGGGGATGTTTGGTCCCCCCCAGCATCCCCGAAGCCCTAAACCCTAAACCCTAAGCCCTACACCCTCAACCCTGAACCCTGAACCCCCCCCCCCCCCTCCTTCCCCTAAGCCCAAGTTGTAGTGTAGGGCAGGCAAGCATGGACTGCGGCGGCTGAAATCAAAAATCCGATGTCCCAAAAAAGCTGAGGTCGTTTTTGGTAAGGAACTGCCTTGCCCCGACGCCTTGTGACTGATGAGGTTTAATTGGGTTTCAGGGTTTAGGATTTAGGGTTTAGGGTGTGGCCAAGCATGGAAGGAAATCTTTCGTCCCCCGCACCCAGTTTGCCAGGAGCTGCGTAAACAGCGACGGGCGGAACCATGGGTCATGCTGCTCCCTGGCGGAACCAGGGGCTGTTTCATAGTGTTTGGGGTTTGGGGTTTGGGGTTTTGGGGTTTAGGGTTTGTGGTTTAGGTTTTAGGGTTTAGGTTGTGCATGGGGTTTAGGTTTAGGGGTTTAGGGTTTGGGGTTTAGGTTTTTTGTGGTTTGCGGTTGCAAGCTCTGAGTTGTCTGGCCGACCAAAGCCCGTATGAGCCCATAGAGTATCAACTTGGGCTCCAAAACGCTACCATGTACCCTAGACCCCTAAACCCTAAACCCGAAACCCTAAGCCCCTAAACCCTAAACCCTAAACCCTAAACCCTAAAACCCTAAACCCTAAACCCTAAACCCTAAACCCTAAACCCTAAACCCTTGGGGCCCCAGGTATAGCCTGTATAGGTACATGGACACCCTAAAACCTTATAAAACGCCATAAACCGCCAAAACGGACACGTCGGGTTCCCATACTAGGGTTTAGGGTTTAGGGCTTCGGGTTTAGGGGTTTAGGGTTTAGGGTTTAGGGTTTAGGGTACATGGACCCTTAGGGATGCACATGACGTCTGGAGTCCAGGTGAGGCTCGAAACGGGCTGCGCAAGGACAAGGACCGCCCGGGCTTTGAGCGTTTAAGGTATTTAGGGTTTAGGGTTTAGGGTTTAGGGTTTAGGGTTACAGGTATTTAGGGTTTCTAGGATGCCCAGTAGTACCCTTTATTCCCGTTTTGGTAGGTTTAGGTTCTCTTCTAAACCCCTTTAAGCAAAAAGGGCACCCTTTTTCATCCTAGGTTACTGGGCAACCTAGGTTTAGAGGGCTTAGGGTTACAGGTATTCAGGGTTCAGAGTTTTGCTTGCATGGTTTACAGGGCTCCTCAAGGCTTTTTTAGGGTTTAGGCTTTTTGGGGTTCATGGTGCGGGGCTCCTGAAGTTCCTAAAGCCTTTTGAGGTTTGGGGTGGTTTAGGGTTTAGGGTTTTTTGGGTTTCGGGTTTCGGGTTTAGGGTTTAGGGTTTGGGGTTTGGGGTTTCGGGTTTAGGGTTTAGGGATTGATGGATAGGCCTTCAGGGCTAAGCGAGCGCCGTCACTTAGCACCACGTCACTGGAGTGGCTGAAGCCGATGAAGGCTGTGTTTCTCGCGATGAGGAACAGAATGGTTTAGGCTTATCGGGTTTAGGGTCTACGGTTTAGGGCTTAGGGTTTAGGGTTTAGGGTTGGGGCCCCAAACCTCGCCTAATTTTGCAGCTGAAGAATACCACGAAGCCCGCGCCGCCGCCTCCTCTGGAAGAAGACCAGCTGACCCCCGTGCTTGGCTAGGTAGGCCCTGGGGACATTTTACATTTTCTCTTAATGGGCCTAAGAGAATCTATATATATATATATATATAGATATAAACACATATTTTTCATGTTTTGTTAATTTCACCCCCCCTTTTTGGGTTTAAGAGGATCGTATTCAGGAAGAATTTTTCAGATGGTTTTAAGGGCCATCCTGGTTCTCACCTTGTGTAGTTCCGTGGGGTGGGGTGGCGGTCGAAGCGAAATAGTTTCTGAAACGGGACTCGGGCTTTGAATGCTGAAGCGTCTACCAGGAAGCCAACGTAGGGATCTTGCTCAGTCCCCTGAGACAGGAGCACTTGCGCAAGCTGCAGGAGGCATCAAAGGGTGGGTCACCACTGAACCGTAAACCCTAAACCCTAAACCCTTAACCCTTAACCCTAAACCCTAAACGCGGGCCAAGGGCTCTGGGGCCCTTCTGGGCTTTTGCAGGCTTCTTGCGGTGTTGGGCTTGTCTAGGCTTGGAGGTTTGGAGGGCTCACAGGGGACCAGCGCCTGCCCCCACCCCCCCCCCCCAAACCCTAAAACCCTAAAACCCTAAAACCCTAAAACCCTAAAACCCTAAAGCCCTAAAGCCTTAAATCCTAAACCCTAAACCCTAAACCCTAATCCCTAATCCCTAATCCCTAAACCCTAAACTAACAGCCCTGAGGAAGCCCAAGTGTGGGCCGCAGCCGTGGACCGCAGGAGCCTCGAGCTGGCGGAGGCCCGGCAGTCTTCGTTGCGCATGTGATCGTTCAAGTTGCCCTAAACCCTAAACCCTAAACCCCAAACCCCAAACCCCAAACCCTAAACCCTAAACCCTAAACCCTAAACCAACATGTTAAAACGAAGCGTTTCAAAGGCCCAGGCCGCCGCAAACGATGGCTCCGGCGACGCCGAGGTGTGGTTTGGCCCTAAACCCTAAACCCTAAACCCTAAACTCTAAACCCTGTGGCCCCTTTGGTTCCCTTAAAGAAGGAGTACATAGGGGCCCGAAATACCCCTTGAAAGGGGTTCTTTAGGGACCTATTTGTATCCCTTTAAGGGATCATGTAGGGGCCCTCTATACCCTTGAAGGGAGTATATTGGGGCCCCATATAAACCTCATTGAGGGATGATATAGGGTACCTCGTTCCCTCATTCCGTACGAAGAGCCAGCCAGTTGGGCGCTGGAGGGACGCTTGAAACAATGGAAGCTGATAGGGAGTTAGGTGGAAAAGAACCCAAAGGGTCCATGTACCCATCTAGTATATACTTGGGCCTTAAAGGGGTTCCTATACAGTAGCTTTAGGGCCCAAATATAAACTATATGGGTACATGGACCCTTAGGGGAATGGAGGAAAGGGCTTTGGGCAAGTGCCATTCGAGCATTGGGGGCTGGCAGCAGGCTTTCGCTGTGGATGTCTTCGGTTTCGGTGATCTTCCAGACCGGGATGCCTCAGTGAGCCAGTTGCAATACCCCCTGGCTCAGGCATGTGCTTTTGATGCTCTGAACCTTAAACCCGGGCGACCCTAAACCCTAAACCCTCCTAAACCCGAAACCCTAAACCCCAAAGCCCAAAGCCACACCCCCTGAAGCTCCGAAACTGCCTGGGGCACACACGGGCCGCAGGCTACGGCCATGGCCCTGCGCCTCTTGCAGGAGGCCGAGGTGCATTTGGCCCCCTTTACGTCTCCGGTTTTGGGTTTGGGGGTTTAGGGTTTAGGGTTCAGGGTTTGAGGGTTTGAGGGTTTGAGGGTTTGATGCGGACTTCTCGGGCTCCATGACAGCCCGAAACCCTACATCCCCTGGTTCCGATGCTGTGCCCGCGATGCCTGCGGACAAGTTCTCTCCTCAAGTTTCTGCCTGTTACCAGATCAAAGACTGGTTGGAGGTTCATGGGACCTGTAAGTAAAGTAGGGTAACCATGGCTCTAACCTTATTTATGGTGCTTGAAAACCCCACTTGTAAGTACCCATGAGCCTTCAAGCAACGCGCTTTGTAGTCACTTTGCAGTCGAGCCCTGCTCAGCGCACTCGAAGACGGCCCTCGGTCGGCCGGCTCACATGCTCCTCAATCTCCTCAGCAGTTTCTTCCCAATCGGGCTGGGGTCAGGGTCCCAAGCCGTTGTTGTATGTAACATATATATATATATATATATATTGTTTTTAGGACATCTAGTAACGCATCCACAAATATAAATATAAATATAAATATAAATAAATATATATATATTATTATATTATATTATATTCTTGAGCACAGCTAGAAACTAGTAGCTGTGAAGCGCAAGCTTCCTGTCATGCTGAAGCTCTCAGTTCCGCAAAGATCTTGCAGAATTTGCAGCTCTTCAACCAGACGAAGCCCATCCAAACTAGGAGCAGAACTTGCTCAGTGGACCACCTGAACCCTAAACCCTAAACCCCAAAGCATGTACAGAGTGTGCAGAAAACTGCGGAGTTTGGCAACCTTCACCAGGCTGGAAAGGCCCACGCCGACGCGATGCTCGCAGAGTTGCAGAAGGTGCCAGAGTTCGGTAGTTGAAACCCTAGGCACACCAGACAGTCCTCCATAAGGATAAGGGGGGGGGGGGAGGTTGCTGAGGGTTTTTTGGAAGGTTTGGGCGTTTGTTTTGGCAGCTAGGTCGGTTGCGAGACAAGAAGGTACGCTTTCTGCCATACCAGGCACCTTGCGATTGAGTGCTAGTGCCCACGTGCCACTACCGTAGTGGCCAAAGGGTCATCATGAAGAGGTGGCACGCCAAGACGACTGGCCCGTTTTCGGTAGCAAGTTGCCGTTGTTTGACATCTTGCCTTGGCACAGACGGTGTTTTTTTGACACATGCAAGATGATCATTAAGCCAGTCTCTTGCCTTCATTCAGGACATCGTCGGCTGTTTTTTAGCAGATTTTTCCGATTCCTGGGTTTTCGGGGTTGCCAGAAGCAACCTTTCAGGCTCTTGTCGCTGGCTGCCTCATACAAAACAAGCTGATGGGTGTAAGGATTTCTTTTTCGGTCTCTATTCAGCTCCAGACGGGGGGTCTCCGAATATAGGGGTACCCTTTTTTGCCGGGGGGGCCCCTTTTAAGGGGATTCTGTGCTGTTTTGGGTATAAACGGGGTACCCCCTATTTTGGGAAACCCTAAACCCTAAACCCTAGTAGAGGTCTCTCATGACAGCTTGGAGCTGACTATATTGGCCCAGCCACCCGTGGCGGCGTCATGGGTGTTGTCGGGCCTGCGGACCGTCCGAAATCTGGCTCTACAACCATTCCCTAAGGGTCCATGTACCCATATAGTACATATTTGGGCCCTAAAGCTACTGTATAGGAACCCCTTTAAGGCCCAAGTATATACTAGATGGGTACATGGACCCTTTGGGATTCTGGCCGATGATTAAGTTAACCCTACGACTTCGGGTTACTTGGAAACAGATATTCATTTCAATGTTTGGTTGCTACAACTGATCCCTACGGAACAGCTAAGATGTTTCATTTTTTGCAAGGGTGCGCCAAGTTCAGTATAGCCTAACCCTAAACCCTAAACCCTAAACCCTAAACCCCAAACCCTAAACCCTAAACCCTAAACCCTAAACCCTAAACCGGACACTGCCCCTTCCTTTCGCTGGCCAGGAGGCGCCAACGGTGGCAAAGCTACCCACAGAGACTCCTGAGAAGCTTGGTGGCCTTTTACTAAGTTCATATATGGAGCTTATGCTACATGTTCTTGGTGAGTGTATGTAAGGTTCCTTTTTAAATATTGGTGAGTGTACATAACGTTCATATGCACCCAATGCTTTGCCATGGGCGGGGGGAAGCACTTTGACCCGGGAGCCGCCCCTGAATAGAACGAAACAGCCCCAGAAAGACGTTCGTTTGCTGTTCCGGTGCTGCGGACCTCCGACCAACAGCACTTGGAGGTTCATGGGTACTTATACGTAGGGTTATAAGTACCCCAAATAAGGTTATAACCAGTTATAAGTATACTTACCATACTTGTAACCCCACTTCTAAGTACCCATGAACCTCCAAGCAGGTACTGGGCGAACCTTCCCACCTTGGAGCGCGGCTGGCGGGCGTACCCTGTCGATGCCAGTGTCTTGTGGCTTGGCGGCGTCCGTCGTCTTGTCACTGAGACTTCCATTTCCGAGCCCATGAGATCCAGCATCCTTCAAGGAGTCCGCACCCTAACCTTATAGGAATACTTGAGAATAATTCATTTTTTTGGGGTACTATAATTTTTAAGAAACAGCTAACATTTTTGTTGCTAGGGTTCCAAGTTCAGTATAGTAACGCCGGTACCCTGCAGCCATATCCCAGATCCCCGAGCGAAGATTTGTGATGTCGGTCGCGAGCCTTCGAAGCCTCAGACCATTAACATGCGCGACCAGCAGGGGTAGCTCCCAAACTGAGCTTATGGCACTATGTAAAACCGCCCAAGCCCCGTCCCTAAGCTCAGCAAGATGTCAGGGTACCGAAGACCCAAGAATAGTCGAAAGCACTTAACCACAAGCCGAAGCTCTAGAATCCTCTCCAAATCCCTATACTAAGCCCTGGGCACGACACAAGAAGAATCAAACGCACCTAACCGCAAACCGAAGCTCCAGAACCCCCATATAGCCCTGTAAACCCTACACACCCCATAAACCCTAGTTATAAACCGTAAACCGTATAAACCACATAAACTCTGTAAACCCTATAAACCCTGAACCCTCGCTCTCCTCAAAAATAATCCCCCCCCCCCTCCCCCTCCCTGATAGAGGCCTAGGATGCCCAGTAGTACCCTTTTTCCCTTTTTTGGGGGGGTTTAGGTTCCCTTATAAACCCCTTTAAGCAAAAAAGGGCACCCTTTTTCAGCCTTGGTTGCTGGGCAGCCTAGAGGCAGACCATCAAGGAGCTTTTCGTCGTGCGCCGGCCACAGGAGCTCGGGAAAGGACGGGACGCGATGGCGCAGCCCGGCTGAGCTTTGCGTGCGCTCGGCTTTGGGCTTGTAGGGTGGTAGGGTTGGCCTTAGGGTTGAGTGTCTAGGGATGGTTTTAGGAAGGAAGAGAAAGAGATAGAGAGAGAGAGAGAGAGCGAGAGAGAGGGAGGTCCCAGCAGGGGATCCTAAAGCGCACAGAAGAAGAGGAGGATAATGGTCGGTCCTGTTCATGTTGCAGAGATCTTCTCCAGCCAGGATCACGACCAAGACTGAACATGTGGGCTCGCCCAGCGCGTGGGGAAACCCCCTCTCCACATGCCCAGCGAAAGAGAAGGAGAAGAGCCACGAGTGTTCAGCGTCCCTAGACCCTTTGTTCAAGATCCTGGTCACGACACATGCCCCTTCATCGTAGCTCTGAAGTAAGCACGAATGTCATTATTAATCCTGCACAGTTTTCAGCCCCAAGCCCTGAAGCAATCCCCAACAGAACTAAACCCTAAACCCCAAACCCCAAACCCTAAACCCTAAACAAACACTAAACCCCAAACCCCAAACCCCAAACCTTAAACCCTAAACCCTAAGCCCTAAACCCTAAACCCTAAACCCTAAACCCTAAACTCTAAACCCAATCCCTGAAGCCTGAGCTCGAAGGTATTCCGTGCCCTACTCAAAGCTCGAAGTGCACTGCGCCTGGCGCATCGAGCACGAGAGCTCATGGCTGAAGCGGGGAGTTCAGCAAATGTGGGGTTTAGGGTTTAGGGTTTAGGGTTTAGGGTTTAGGGTTTAGGGTTTAGGGTTTAGTACTTTAGGGTTTAGGGTTTAGGGTTTAGGGCTACCTTCAAAAGCCGGAAAATGAAATTCTCCCCCCCCCCCCCCCCAGGTCGGAGTAGATGCTGGGGTGCGGATAGTGGTTGGAGGTTGAACCTTGGGGAGCCCAAGCGAACCCTGAGAGGGTGTATGGTTCATAGACCTTAATAGGAATTATCGTAGTATATTTATCGTTCATAGACCTTAATAGGAATTATCGTGGTATATTTATGGTTCATATTCCTTAATGGGATTGTCGTAGTCTAGGGTATCTGACCCCAATTTCAGTGTTCACTTGGCCCCCAGAGAAGTGAAGGATGCTCCGCGCGCCGTTGTCGCAGGTTCGCCGCCGAGCGGAACAACTTGCTTCGCCAGATGAACCAGCTGCGCACGAATTTCATCGTGCTGCCTCCCTGGGAAACGGGGCTGCCAAGGGAGGGGCCTTAAGGGTCCATGTACCTATATGGTATATACTTGGCCCCTAAAGCTACTATATGGGAACCCCTCTTAACGTGTCAAGTATATACTATATGGGTACTTGGACCCTTAGGGATAGTATGGATGTGAAGAGCATTGAATATGGAGTTGGATGGGGCCTGACGAGTGCAACCCTCAAAGGCTCCAATCATTTCGATCCGCGGAAGTGCAACTTCACCAAGACCAATGCTAGTTCCGGTCTCCGGGCTTCTTTCAAAAACCAGGGACGTCCGACCCCTAGAGCGCCTCTAAGTCACCCTGTTGGCCCATGGCCAGGGAGTCTTCAAAAATTCCTGGGGCGTCCGGCCCCTAGAGCGCCTCTAAGTCACCCTGTTGGCCCATGGCCAGGGAGCCCACATGAAGCCCTTGAAGTGAACGCCCCCCCCAAGCCCAGGAGAGTAAACTGGAGGCGGCCAGCAGGAGCTCCCCACAAGCGTCAGTGGTTTTGGGGTTTGAGACTTGCGGCTATATGCACCATGCACTCATTCAGTCAGCCTGGTCCTTTATAGAGCAATGTGGGCCATGCAAGAGGAGAAGAACGCTTGATCCCCAAACCCGAAGCCCTCATCCAGTGGAGGAACTTGCCGGGCCAACGTTTCCTGAAGGAGGTCGGGGAAAGGCCGGGGCCCGTATCCCAACAGACGTGGTCGGCCTAAACACTCCGTCTCAAAACATATACGTGCACCCAGGGGCAATCGTTCTACTCTGAACTGTGAGATGCAAATTCTGCCAGCGCAGGCCCCAAGCAGTGCGAGACCATGGGGACATGAAAGAGCATACTAAGATATTCTAAGGGTACACCACGAATACGCCAAGAGCACTCCAATCGCTGCGGGACTTTCCACTTCAAGAGCAAGCCCCTACTTGAAGGTTCACGGTCATTTATAGCGGGGGTTATGAGTACCCTATAAATGAGGTTCTAGCCATAGTTCCCCTACTTATAATGCTACCTAGAGAAGCACCCATGAACCTCGAAGTAAGCTCACCTTGTGAGCACGGGACCAAGTCGAGAGCGTGAGCAGTTCTGAGAGCCTCGCTTCACAGACGCTTTCATCCGGCTGCTGCGTGGTCGCTGCAGCGTACCGGCCGTGGCGGTTGTAACTTCACGTAATGCCTGCATGATCCTGATGGCATAAATGCTGAGGCCCTCGGCTATAAAGCACCCGAAAACCTGACAGTCCGTGATGCCACAAACCCCCCTCTCCCCCCCGTCCAACCCTAAACCCTGAGTAGGGTTCGGGGGGTTTTCGTTCAGGGTGCATCGAGAGGCCACGGCATGCATCGATGGCCGCAGTTCGTCGCCTACTGTACTATCGGGATCCCCCCACACAAGGTTCAATACTTCTCACGACTGCAGATGGTCGGCAGCGCGCCTTTCTCGCTCTGCGCCACGACTTGTCCTCGAGAGCCTAGGCCACGACGCGGCGTCCTTTGCATGCGTGCTGCCACGGCGGGTGCAAGGAATGCTAGTCGAACCGTCACTTTACAGGGTCTATCGACTTGCTTGAGCCCATTGTCCCAATGACACCTCAGAAGAGACAGCTCGGCACTTGACAGTCGACGACGGTTCTGCGCTTGACAGCCAGAGAGCACGCGGGTCCTCGCGAGAGGTGATTCGAGAGCAAAGGCTTGCACTTGACGACAAGAGAGTACACGGGGCCTCTAGGCTAGAGCGCGATGGGAGACCAAAATGTCAAGGCTTCGAGCGGGAATGCCGCGGGTACCGAGGCGACTAGGCTTCGTCGGGCGGGAATGCGAGCGTGTCGCGCCAGCGTGGTGCCAACGGAGCGCGAGCGTGGTTCCAGCGTGGCGCCGCGAGCACACCGATCCAAACCATCGTACTCTGAAGGTTGAAAGGCCCTAGCGGTGACACACGGCTTGGGCTACAAACTACCGGAGTTGCCCCCGCTTGTTCTCTAAGTACTGTAGGATTAAAAGTAGGATATCCACAACTTAGGGGACTCAAAGATATACATGTACTAACGCTGCTTGAACTTGGGGGGGCGGGGGTGGCCACTCTTGTAGTTCCATCCTGGTGAGAATCACCCCATGTCAGAGGTACCTACTGCATGGGACAAAGCCTGAGAATGTCCTCGATATCATCCATGGAGGCGTGATGAGGGCTTGCATGTCATAGCCTCCATCTCACACTGCGCCGCAGAGCACAAATCTGAATTTTGTATACTCGCCCTAAACCCTAAACCCTAAACCCGAAACCCTAAACCCTTTACATGAGCCTTGAACCCTTTAAGCCCTAAACCCTATAACCCCTATTATAAACCCTAAACTGCTAAACCCTTCGCGGCGACTCGGGGAGGCTTCAGCGAGAAGCACTCCAGCTTGCGCGGCATGTATGGGGCGGGAAACTACTGCGCAGATGAGCCGGCACCTCTTTGGGGGTTTAGGGTTTAGGGTTTAGGGTTTAGGGGTTTAGGGTTTAGGGTTGAGGGTTTAGCGGGACCACGTTAACCCCAAAAGGGTTTATATGGAAGAAAACTTTCCTAGGCATTAAAGCAGTAAAGGACATATGATACCACTTTTCGGGTTCGTTTGGTCCCCAGGTGGGTTTAGGGCTGGTTTGGTTGAGGCTCCTCTAGACGTGGCTGTCGGGCTTCCGAGAGTGAGTGTGCTTCTCATATACTTCACCCCCCGCCACATCTCGACTGCCCCAGCTTCATGGGACGTGAGCGAAAAAAACTTGAGAACCCTTCAGTGCAACGCAGCCCGCCAAGCCATTCCAACCCAGGAGAAGATCGACCAGTACACGCGCCCGGACAAGGGGCGCAGGGGCATGGAGGACATCTGGGGGGCTTCCGAAATTTGGGGTGCCTTCTGAGGGATCTATATTTATAAGGGAATCCTATCCATGTGGGGTCAATATTTGCAGGTGAATCCTCGTATTTGGGGCTCTATATCTCCCAAACCCTAAACCCTAAACCCTAAACCCTAAACCCTAAACCCTAAACCCTAAACCCTAAACCCTAAACCCTAAACCCTAAACCCTAAACCCCCCAGATCATAAGCTTTCCTTGCAGCTCAGAGGGCTCCAAAGAGGGCGAAGGATCCCTGAGGTGGGGGTTCGCTATCATCCTATGAAAGTCCTACTTAGGGGTTTAGGGTTTAGGGTTTAGGGTTTAGGGGGAGGTGCGGGCTTGTACAACATGACGGCAATGGCCCCAGATGTCGAGCTTTGAGGCATTCATGCGTTCGGAAGCAGTCGTGAACATACCGCTTCGGCAAGAGACAGTGGCCAACGAGACGTGGAGCCCGGAATTCCTGGCAGAGACAGGGTCGTCAATACAGTGGAGTAGAGCTGTTGGGCTTAGGCTTCAACGTGTTTTATTGCTTCTTCCGTTGCATTGAATGCTGTCAAGCCGGCTTCTGCACACTAGCACGAGCAGTGCGGTAGGCCCCTCAAAGCTTCATGTAGCGTCTCTTCTCCCTAAACCCTAAACCCTAAACCCTAAACCCTAACCCCTAAACCCTAAACCCTAAACCCTAAACCCACATTCTTGGCGGCATCCTGCTTGGTGAGCGCAGGAACTGCATTCTCTGCTCTACCCCACCGGCGGCAACACTCATCCAGGCCAACATGGGCATCTCCCCAAGTAGGGGGTACCCTTTATATACACCAAATAGAATAGAATCCCCTTAAAGGGCCCTCCAAAATTGGTTCACCCCCTAGTTTCGGGAACCCCGACATGAGTTTCCCTTTCAGGCATCTGCTGCCGTAAGCCGAAGCTAGAAGTGACACCTACTCCTCTGAGCTTCCTTCCGCAGATATAGGGTTTAGGGTTTAGGGTTTAGTCGACAAAGTGGGCTACTGTTGGAGACTCCACAGGCTTGAGGCTTTTCAGGGAGCAGACCACACTTGCGAGCATTGTGTTTGCAAATGGGGCTTTTGTTAGCCGGGCAGGCCTGCTTCAAAGCATACGAATCCCTTCCAAACCCATGATGCGAGCATTGTGTTTGCCAATGCGGGGGACTGCGCAGCCCCCCCCCCTCTCTTCTGAAAATAAGAGTGAATATATGATTGCTTTCCTACGAAAATTCGGAACTTATAGTGGAAGTTGAATTTTCCGATTACAAACAAATAGACGTCTTCTTAGTACAGAATCGAGAAAATAGAGCTCGTGTTATGAGAATATGGCAAACATGAACAAAAATACTTGTTGTCTCTGCGAGTCACAGATAGAGTCATAGAGACAATGCATGTACTCTTATGGAAATATCGAGATTTAGCTTTCATGTATTCTCCTCTCTCATGTCTTCCTCGTGAAGAGAAGAAGTCTGAACACTTTGAAGAAATAGTAAACTACAGAAAAATAAAGGTTTTCATTACAGAAAATGGAAATTAGAGGTTTTTCCTATGACAAACTGAGGAAAAAGAGGCGAACATATAGAGGGTTTATATTAAGATATAGAGGTCTTGATATTCAACCGGAGAGAAAATAGAGGTTTCCGATAAAAATAACAAGACAAGAGAGGGAATCATATCAAAATAAGCACAAAATAAAGAGGTTTTCCTGTGAAAGTATAAAGCAAAAGAGAGATGTTTTCATGTTCAAACTTTGAGAAAATGGAGGTTTTCCTATTAGGATACAGAGAAAATAATGGTTTTCCGATTAAAATAGGACAAGAGGAACAAGAACACTATTAATTGCAAGGCACATGTTGAGAAAACACAGAGAATTTGTTTCTCATTTGTTCCTCTCTCATGTCTTCCTCATTAAATACTGAGGAAAACTATGACAATATACACAAAATAGAGAGAAATAGAGGTTTTCGTATTCAAGTATAGAGAAATTAGAAATAGAGGTTTTCATAGTCAATGCAGCTAGAGGTTTTCATCTTCACATATGGAGAAGACAGAGGTTCTCCTATTAAAATACAGAGAAAATAGAGGTTTTCATATTGAAACATAGAGAAACCAGCAATAACGCGCCCCCGCACCCGCAGCAAAAAAGAAATAACGCGCTCCCGCACCCGCAGCAAAAAACAAACGCGCCTCTGCACCCGCATCAAAATTAAAAAAACCGCGCCCTGGCACCCGCAGCAACAAGAAGAACGCGCCCCGCACCCGCAGCAAAAAACAGAACGAGCCCCGCAGCCGCAACACAAAAACACCCGCAAAAAAAAGTCACTCTTACCGTTTAGAACCAGGACAAGATATCTTCTACTGCTTCCTGGTCCGTGTGGCTTGCGGAGCATGCTTCCAGTCTCAAGGCCTCTTGGTCTGAGGGACAGGTTCAAGGGTTTAGGGTTTAGGGTTTAGGGTTTAGGGTTTATAAGGTTTGAAGGTTGGGGTTTAGGGTTTTGGTCTTGCCTTTCGAGGAAGGTCAGTTGAAAACCCGGCCTTTGGAGGAACAGGCAGACTGCGGCAGACTCGGAAGCTTGGGTTCTTAGGGCTTGGTAGCCCAGTGGTCCCCTTTACCCTTTTTTTGGTGATGGGTTCCCTAAAAAAATAGCCAACCCAAAAAAGGGTGCCCTGATTACAACATGGTTACTGGGCTACAAAGTGAAGGCGCAGATCCCAACCACGAAGCTGTGAGGGTGAGGATTTCGGGTTAACCTTGTTTAGAGTACCCAAATGCTCTTATGAACCTTCTTGAGCCGATTCGAGAGGCTTGGACAGAGACCGCCTCAAAGATGCGGCGACGGGCACAGAAGTCTACATGACGGACGAGCGGCGTGAGCTCAGTCGCATTCTAGGTGCCGGAACCCGGGGGGGGGGGGCTGAGGGTTTCAGAGCTAGGGTGTAGGGGTGAGGGTTTATATTTGGTTTAGGGTTTAGGGTTGCAGAGCTGGCCAGTCATTGAGTTCGTCATCTCTGTGCAAGGTTCAGCCTGTGAAAGGGCAACAGGCTTGAAAACCCGGTTGGGCTTTCTTTGACTGACGGTGTGTGCTACATCCCAGGCCCTAAGAATAGATGTTGATCCTATCCGGCTACCTGCTTTGGCATCTGTGAAGGATCCCACATGTTCTAACTATGCTGTCGGGGCAACCGTCTTCCACCAGAAAACCGTATCAAGTCAAACAAGGCCCCCAGTTCACAGGTCCACAGTGGACAGTAGAGGCATTTGTTTTTGAATAAACCCTAAACCCTAAACCCTAAACCCTAAACCCTAAACCCTAAACCCTAAACTTGTTTTTCTTGCGAAGGCTCTTCTCCTTCCATCTCGTACCACACCCTTGTCATGCACACCTCGTCGACGAAGACGGGTGGCCACGTGGAGCGGTTTAGGGAGATCGTCCTCTTCGAGACTCGGCCTCAAGGGATATGGGGTTTAGGGTTTAGGGTTTAGGGTTTAGGGTTTAGGGTTTAGGGATCCCAAGTGCGGCCTATGATGTAGACAAGAACCCGAAAGCCCCCCCAAAAAGCCCGAATCCTGCACCCCCCCCCCCCCCCCCCCCCACCCTCAAGTTAAATCGTGTGTGCTCGCATGAGCTAAGAAGTGGGCATCCTGACTCGCGACTCGAAATCGGGCCACTCGTCCCCCCTAGGTTCCCCCCCTTAAATCACCTTAAACAGGCCAAATTATCCCCAAGTAGCCTTAATTCTTGGGGGGAAACTAGGGGGGGGGTAGTATAGTAAGGGAACCTATGATATGAGGCTTCTTAGGACTTAGGGTTGGGGTTGCCCATGCATGGATTGCCGGTTTCCTCGCACCTTAGTCTCAAGCAAAAAATCCCACGCTGCCGAAGGAGACCAGACCCGTACACCTTTTCAAAGGGGCTTTAGGGTTTAGAGAGTTCCATAAAGGGTCCATTGGTACTACTTCCTCTGGAGTTGGGTATCCCAAAACCCTATTTAGTATGGTTTTTTGAAGTTTTTTGGGTACCTAGTGCCATGCTAGTACTACAAATGGACCCTTGAGGGTTTGCAACCCAAGCAGCCCAAACGTCCCCCCGACGCCCGCTGGTGTAGGGATATGACTCAACCCATCTCAAGCCACATAAACCCTAAACCCTAAACCCTAGACCCTAGACCCTAAACCCTAAACCCTAAACCCTAGGTTGGTTTTATCAGCCGGGAAGTCAAACTGCTCCCAAGTCGTGATCCCCTCCCACCGAAGCCGAGGACGGCAACCGGATCTATCCGGAGTATTTGTTGGCATACCGCCGGCTGAAATGAAGAGACGGCAGCGCAGAAGCCTTGAGGGGATCTCGGACCTTTTTTCCATAACCCAAACTTCCCAAACCCCAAGGCAAAACCGAGCCGTCTTCGGCTCCTCACCACGCACAGGGCTCCTGTGCACCCCCGTGATAGCCGCAGCAGGCAACTAGCGCCTGAGTTTTGTTTTAAGTGCATGTTCCTGTGTTGCTGTCCCAATCATGGCTTGCTCCGAGCAAATGCTATGGCTGTGTTAGTCCCAAACCCCTTAAGCACTCGTCTCCGCCACAGCAACGCAGTGTTGAATTCTTCATCTTCCGGTGCATTGTTGACGTCTGCTTTTCGTCCGCCAAGCTTTTGGGACGTTGGGCCTTGGCCTGAGAATCCCGCAATCATTTTAGTGCTTAATTAGACCGAGCGGTGCCGGAGACCACGGGAGGCTCCATGAGCGAGACCTCGTTTAGGCCGCGGGGATGAGGATTGTCTTGAGTCCACTTCACCCTAAACCCCCTAAACCCTAAACACTAAACCCTAAATCCTAAACCCTAAACCCTAAACCCTAACCCCCCCCCCACCCCACCCCGAAGGGTTTAGGATTTAGGGTTTAGGGTTTTGGGTTGTTCTTAGTAGGGAATGAGGGAATGGAGCCCTATATATACCCAGAAAGGGATTATAGCAAGGGGCCTCATTCCCTCATTCTCTACAAAGAACCAGCCATCTATTGTTGCACTCGGGGTAATTAATTTGCTTTCGGGGGTTGAGGTGTGCCTGAAACACCATGCATAAGATAGGCATGTCTTTGCCTTGCTTTCTTGGCTCAACAAAGAAGGCCTGCCAAAAACAAACCCCGCATCACCTCATCAGTCAAAATTGAAACTCTTATAGCTTAGCCCGTCACAGGACTGATGACCGAATCTGTTGGCTGTGGTAGTAGTTGTTGTTTTTTTGAGATTTGTCTCTGCACATTATATCATAAAGTCAAGCATGTTCTTGGTAAAGAAGTCTTGTCCTCAAGCGGCAGGCGCCGCTCAAGCACGTGAAAGCGCGTGTAAGTGCGGTGCTAATTGTTTTTGAAAGTGCGGACCACCTGGGTCTGTTTCTGTGGTGGGAGATGGCAAGCCAAAATCATCTACTGCCTGGGGTTTACCGCCCTCACGCCGACAGATGGTTGCATAGCTGGCGCAGTTGGGCGCCGGAGTGCATGCGTGCAGAGGGTTCAAGGTTTAGGGTTTGGGGTTTAGGGTTTAGGGTTTAGGGTTTAGGGTTTTAAACAAAAGGCCTTGACGTTTCGAGCCCCCAGCGGCCAGAGCTTGCAAGCCCCGATGTTTTCCAAGCTGTCCTGCATGGATTGGGAATCGAAGAGGTCGAGAACTCGCGGCCTGAAGGCTACTTGAAGGTTCATGGGTATACGTGGGTAACTATCGTTATAGCTGGTTATAACCTTAATTATTTAGGAAACCCTAAACCCTAAACCCTAAACCCTTGAACCTCCAAGTAGTCAGCAGTGAAGGTGTCTTGTAAAGGTTCCGGGGTGTGGCGTCTGCTTTTCATTGAAGATGTGGGTTTTTAGCCCGCCGCCACGAGTACCCGCTGTTTCTTTCAGGTTGTTGACGGGTTGATGGAAGGCTAGCTTCCGAAACCCTAAACCCTAAACCCAAAACCCTAAACCCTAAACCCTAAACCCCTCATCCAAAAGCATCACGTCATACCTGCGGCCAGCGATGATCGATATACCGGAGGCTGCAAAAAGGCTCTTTGCACCTTCGGGTTCAGGGCTGTTGGTTTAGGGTTTAATAGGGTTTAGGGTTTAGGGTTTAGTGTTTAGGGTTTAGGGTTTAGGGTTAGGACTTAGGGTTTAGGGTTCAATGTTGCGCACGAAATTCAGCAACGGAGAGAAGGGTGACCCAATCCCTGGAAATTTGGCGTCGTTGATCCTCGCGACCAGGCCGTCATTTGCACCGTGACGTTTGGGCGTGTCTTAATGTGCCATGATATTTCTTATCTCTTGAGAATACAGTTGTTTATTTTTAAGAATAGAGTAGTGCATATGTGTAGCAGCGATGGTCCACTTTCTTCATACACTTCTTCGCACGAGTTCGCGCTTTCCTCACGCCCGACGACTTGGCGGCAAGAGACCTCTAGTGAGTCCAAGGTTTATGTCTCAAATGAATCTGGAACACCCAACGGATCAGTGTCAGGACTATGGGCATACTAAACTGAATATTCACAACAATGATTACATGTCAATCATGTCCTTGCATGTGTTAGGGTTTAGGGTTTAGGTTTTAGGGTTTATAGGGTTTAGGGTTTAGGGTCGTACGTCGAGGTCCATCTTGGGGAAGGACAGCTGCGGCTCTTCTGCCACAGTTGCCTTGTTGCCAAAGCTCATCCTCTGGTACTTTAGGGTTTAGGGTTTTGGGTTTAGGGTTTAGGCTTTGCCCTGTCATTTTCACACTTTCTTACCAGGAAGCAATGCTGGCAACACGTTTCGTCACCAATGCCTGGAGACGGGCCCGTCGGCTTTTGATTCGCTCTCTCTGCCCCTGGCCTTAGGCAGAGACCAGTTCAGTGGCAGAGCGCCGACGAGGGGTGATGAACACACAGTGCGTGGATTCCGGCTAGAAAACTACTATTTGCTTAAGAACCCCCCCCAAAAATATAAGGAATCATGTCTTTTTGTGTGTGTGTGTGTGTGTGTGTTTTTTTTTTTTTTTTTGGGGGGGGGGGGCTCTTAAGCAATTAGTAACTAGTAGAATCGGCTGTAAAAACTCCTGTCTGCTCTGAACATTTTCCTTCCTCTGTTTCATCCAAGGGCCTCTGAGCCTGGAGAACCCCTTGCACCAAAAAATGGTTCCACCAGAAGAAACCTTACTTGTCAGCACATCAGCGAAATGAGAAGACCAACCATTGATCAGACTCATTCTTGGTTCATCCAAGCAACCTTGACATTTCTTGAACGAGCGGCTATTGATGCCTGGGGCTGTGGATCATGCGAGAGCAAGCCCGCAAACTTACCAGAAGGCTGCAACTTCAGGTTCTGCCCTGCAACCTGAGCCAGCTATTCACAGTATCAGTCTACACAGCTGAGAATTCATCCGGGATCCGTTCGCACCATCCGTGCCAGTCGCCTCAAGTGCGTGGGTGAAGACTCGGGCCTCTGAACATGTACTTGCAGTTCGCCCCGACTCGCATCAAAAGCAAGGCTCCTGAGATCAAGACGGAGTCACTGCTCACGGCACCCCCCCCAAGCCGGTATACCGGAGCTGCCAACATTTTGCCAGCAAACAGGTTCTGACGCCCAGGCAATCAAGGCTTAGGCAGCCAGTCCCAGAGCTCAGCAGATACAAGGTTTAGGGTTTAGGGTTTAGGGTTTAGGGTTTAGGGTTTAGGGTTTAGGGTTTAGGGTTTAGGGTTTAGGGAAGAGTGGTAGTCATGCACGCTTGGTAGTCATGGAGCTCGCCGCGGCGCTGGACTTGACGGCCGCGGCGCATGCGGCCGTGGCCGGGCGCAAGAGCTTCGAAGAGGGGGGCTTCATGATCTTCCAGGAGCCCCGGAAGTGTGGGACTCCGGCGTTGCAAGGGCTTTCCTTGGGTTTGTGTGTGTGTGTGTGTGTTTTATGTTTTTTTTTGCGTGGCTGGCCTGTGTTGATATCAGACGATGGCCGTGGGTCTGAAAGAATCTGGTGAGGGCTTAACCTGTCTTTATCTTTAGGCTTTGATGTTGGGATTGAGGCCCACGGTAGGTGGTGGGGGCGGTGGTCCGAAACGAAAGGGTTTTGTGCAGTCTTCATGATCTGCAAGGGGCCTTACAGCTATTTCAAACGCAATGCCTTCACCCCCTCGCAGCTTAACACAGGTTCCTTCGTAGACTGGTTGTCGGTCGTGCGACCATCACGATAGAGCGCCAGCTGGACTCTGGTTGAGCTTAGCAATCCCACAAAAGCGATACACCTACTCAAATTGCATTCGCGGGCCCAGATGCATGCACCTTGGGTCAGTGCTTTGGCAGTTAGTTCCACATTCTCAGCCCTCCTCCTTCCCTGAACCCGAAAACTTGGAATGTTCATCTTATACTAGCAGCTCCTGGAGGGGTTCTAGTACGTACTATAATCCGAGTCAGGACTGTTAGTAGAATGGGGAACATCCCAACCCTAAACCCTAAACCCTAAATTCTAAACCCTTCTCCCTGAAGCTTAAGCTCGCAGACCTCTCAGCCCTCCTCCCCTAAAAGGAGCTGCTCCCTGCGCCTCTTTGCGCGGCGCTGAACGAGCGCCTGGAGCGCATCCTGGAGGGCGCCACCTGGCAGGATGGGCGATGATAGGCCCTATAATCCCCATAAGCAACCCCATAAAGGGCCTTTTTTTTTAAGGGGTTATATAATCAACCCTATAAAGGGCCTTTTTTAAGGGGTTATATAATCAACCGGGCCTTTTTAAGGGGTTATGTAATCAGCCCTATAAAGGGCCTTTTTAAGGGGTTGTAGGTCTGAAAGCCCCGAAACTTTGAGGCCTTCTGTCTTGGGTCCACCCAAGTGGACCCCAGAAGGGTTGATGGTTCACATGAAGCAGGGTATATATTACTGTTCTTGGTGAGTGTATATAAGGTTCCTTTTTAATATTGGTGAGTGTATATATTGGGTGTCCCTCTGGGGGCACAAGAAATATATACCCTACTTCACATACTTGAATAGGAGCTCTATTTTACGGTAGTAGAGAGGGTATACATGACCCCAAGCTTAGGATGAACCTTATGGTTCATATACATTAATTTAGGTTCTATATTATGGTAGAGGGTATATGACCCCAACTTTGGGGCCAGGGTTCATGTGGTCCCAGGGTAGGTCCCAAAGAAGGACCTAGAGAGTACTAACACTCTTGGGGCTGTGGGCTCTCTCGTTAGCAGGCTGGGGTTCGGACTTTGGGGTATGAGGTGTTCAGAGTTGTTGGGGGCCGCTTTGGGGAGGGATTTTGAATGATTCAGTCCAGTGGAACACACAGGAGCCGAGCACCTGCGACAGACACC